GAGATATGATCTCTCCCACTAACTCCAGTTAAGACTCTGGCAGCAGCCTTTTGGATTAACTGGAGACTTTTTAAACAAGTATTTGCTTATTAATTGCTTATTACTTGCTTATTACATGCTTACTACTACAAATTAATAAAAGTCAATGGGGAAAATATGTTTTCAATAAATAAAAAATTTAAAAAACTGAAAAGCAACGCATAGCCACTTTGCTTTGAAGCCCTGACCATCACCTTTAGAAGACACAGATTGTTAAATAACATCTGAGAGTCAAATGATCTAAACTTGTCATTGTTTTAGGATGATTATGACCCAGGAATACAGACTGAATATGAGGACCTCAAAACAAAACTTAACTTCTAACAAAACAAAAAGCTGACCTGGCTGCAAACTTACAGAAAAGAAGGAGTGAAAAAGAGGAGTCACAAACAGGTGTGAAGAGACCAGGACTATAGGAGGGCACATGCTCCACTGAATTCTGGACTGAACACCGAGAGGTAACGTGGCCTGAGGCTGACAAGGAGATGAGGAACAGCTGAGCTAAATGAAACAGGAAGCAGGTGAGAATGGGCGTGGCAGGACAATGGCCAACACACAGCGACAAATAGAAACAAACTGGACGCAAGGAAAATAGAGAACTTAACGAGAAATAAACATGAAAATGAATTAAAAACTGAAAAAAACACGGAGCTTGACCATCAAATAATCAAAACCTGCTGCACCAACCCTTGAATCAACACCAGTAAAACATGTCATGACTTATCATGAAGACCAAGGAACTCTTACAACAGGTCAAACACGAAATATTGGAAAAGTATGGATCAGGATTGGGTTGTTAAAAAAAAAAAGAACCCTGAACGTTACACAAAGCTCCATTAAAACCATTATTAGGGAGTTAAAAGATATGGGGCGGCTGTGGCTGAGTGGTTAGAGCAGTTGTCCTCCACTAAAATAATTGGGGGTTCGATTCCACCAGCAGTCACATGCCGAATTGTCCCTGGGCAAGACACTGAACACCTCGTTGCCTCTGATGTGTGTCCCATGGGTGTATGAATGTGATCTAAAGCACTGATTAGTCTTTGTACAGATATAGAGTGCTGTATGAATGGGTAAATGAGGGCAC